GTTCAAAACACGCGATGGGCTTTATGAGTTTACCATAATGCCCTTCGGTCTTACGCTAACCTGCTGAGACAGTTTGATTGGCCTGGCATGAAAGGGACTGCTGAGACTGAATGTCAAGTCTGTCAACGAATCAAACCATGTAGACAAAAGCCCATGGGGCTACTCACACCCCTACCCATTCCGGATTGTCCCGGGGAGTCTGTCTCCATCGATTTCACTGACATGGGTAAGGTAAGCAAGAACGGGTTTTCACAAGTCATGGTGATTGTTGACCGATTTTCGAAGTTTCTCAATCTGATCCCTTTACCGCCTCATGCCCCAAAAGATCTAGTGATTCGCGAATTTCAGCAAAAATACCTGCTGCAATTTGGAACCCCGAAGACTCTTGTGAGCGATCGGGATCCGCGTTTCATTAGCACTGAATGGAAGGAGTTTACGTCCCACCTAGGAATCAAACTGTGCATGACATCTGGCCGACACCCCGAAGCCGACGGTTTGGTTGAGGAGATCAACCAGACTGTATTCCAACTATTACGTGCGTTGATCATTCCTGATCAGGAAACATGGGATGAGGAGCTGTATTCTGTCAAGGGGTTGTACAACAACTCCGTCCACTCTGCCACCGCCACGACGCCCAACAGGCTGCACTACGGGTGGCAGATCCGTAATCCGCTCTCCTACTTATTTCCTGAGCAGCGACCTGGTTTAACACCCGGCAGGCCCGGCTTCAGTGCTAAGTATGATCGCTTGCTCAAAGTTGTTGTTGCAGCTATGACCAAGCGACAACATGCCATGATTCACCATGCGAACAAGAAGCGCAAACCATCGGAGATTCAGGTAGGAAGTTATGTCTGGGTAAAGATGTCTGAATTCTCAGCGGAGGAGGGAGTCTCACGAAAACTCTTCCCACTTTACTACGGGCCTTGGGAAGTTTTGGATGTAATTGGGGAAGATCACTTTGGCCCTTCGTACATTGTAGACGTGCCAGCTCACCTGCGCACGTATCCCGTGTTTCATGCATCTAAACTGAATCTCCATCGTGACGCCGAGACATTCGATTACCGCGAAGATATGATCCCTCGCGCAATCAAGGGCGGGCATGAGATAGATAGAATCAAACAGCATGTAGGTAAAGGGAGAAACAAACAGTATCAGGTTCATTTCATGCATCACCCGTTAGATGGTCTCTACTGGATCTCCAAACAGGAACTGCGAGGCAGCGCACCGCGCGTTGTTAAAGTTTACGAGCGACAGATCGCCGCTAATGCCACACCAAAGACCTCAGCAAGGCTCTCTGCAACAGAGTATTCTAGGAATCTCTTTGCCTTGCTCGCCTACGATACGTTTACCGAGGACTCAGAATGAGTTACTCGCTCGAAGGGACCTCGCTCTTGGAGGGGGGATAGTGTGATAACCCTTTCAAACACCGACTGAAACACACAGCTGATTTATGAGTTTTGCTCATAGACTGAATGCCCTACTGAGTTCCTTGCCTGCTAAGTTTGTGTGTGTGTGTGCTTGCTGGACTGCATGTGTGTCTGAGTGCTGGTTGGCTTGCGTGTGTGACCATGCCTGTCTGAGTGCTGGTTGGTATGAGTGTGTGTGTGTGTGGCCCGCCAAGGCACTTGTTCGTTCGTTCGGCCCTCAGGGCCGGTACTTACCTGTGGTCGTGGCTTCGAAGGGTTGCAGCAGGGAAAAAGCACTCAAGTAGCGGGTAGGCCGGTACCGCTCCCGGCAGGGGGGTAAATATGCAGGTACCGGAGGCCGAGCAGAAGAAGACAAAAGTGGCATTTTTAGAGGCCGATAGTGTAGGCTAGGTCTAGCGGGTACCAGTTTGAGTATAGGGCCTGTAGGGGCAATATCAGAGTCTGCAATGATGTTCCCTCCAAAAGGAGGAAGCGGTACCGATTGCTTGGGAATGCCAGCGGCTTGGAAGTCACCGCCCAAGAGGCAAAGCAGGCCGCTATATCTTCTGGCCAGGCGGAAGACCCGGCCTCTTTTTCGGTGTGCAAGTTTGGCGACACACGGGAGGAGTGCTGGAGGGAGGATCGCTAGGTTGGAGCTGCGCTACTGGGGAGGAAGAAGAAGGACTAGAGGGAGGAAGAAGGAGGAAGGAAGGAGGAAGGGGGAGGAGCGCCGGGGGTACTTACCTGGCTATGGTGGCAGCCATCTTCATCACCTTGGTGGGAGCTGTTGCAAGGAGTCCCCAGCCGGGGGAAGCTACACCAAGAAGCTTCAAGGCAGGGCTGGGCATGGCGGCCTGAGCTGGAGCAGCCATAGCTGCTCTGCGTTGTGCTTTGGACATCGGAGCAAGGCCTAGTCGTCCGCCATAGCCTCGGCCTATGTGTGTGAAGAGTGGGGGTTGGCGGCCATGGCTATGGTGGACCTTGAGTGATACCTGCACTAGAAAAGGGACTCGGACATGATTCTGGACCAATCATTCAACATTGGATTATTATTTCTTGTATGAATAAGAGGAGAGGGAGATAAGGAGGAGGAGATTGTTGGGCGAAGAAGAAGAGCCTAGTCATTGTCTTTGCTGGTGTACATCTTCTTCTTCTTCTACTCCTCTCTCTCCTCTCAAGTTCATTCATTTCTTTCTGCAATTGGATGGCATTGTACTTCTCAGTGGATGTGTATCTCGAAATTGGCTAGGGTCATAACATTGGTATCGGAGCGGATTCTACTTGCTGGTGAGAGTTGACTTTGCTACCCTAACCCTAACCTACGTGGTTGAGGGCAACACTCAGGGTTAGGGTTGGATGGTTGAGGGAAGTGGGGCAGCGTGGCTAAGGGAAGCTGCCCCCACCTGGTTAGGACATGTGGGGTCAACATAGACCCTAACCAGGTTGCTTGAGAGTGAGATTAGGGTGGCGAGACATTTCGAGGAGACTTCATGCGGCGATTTGAGAGAGGCGACAGTGAGAGGCACTCGCACCTGGAATCTGATTCAAGGGAGACAATGGGCAACTTAAGGGCTGCCCTCAAGTAGGCAAGCTTGAGGGTCAACGACCATTGTGCATCAACGGACTGCAAGTTCCTACTTTGTTCTTCAGCATCGACGGGGGATCCGGCGTTGCACTTGGGTGTTGGAGTCAGACCCTCCTAGGAGATAGGACTCTAGTGTAGGGGTAGTGTTAGATGGGTCAGGAGGACCATATGAGAAGGGGGGTGAGTTCTCTTCATCTCGAAGCTCAAGGTCACTCAGGTAAGTGTCGTGCACCTACGGGATGCCCATGTTTGTGTGTATGGTATTGATTGTCCTGCTGGGGTACTCTGGGGTTTCTTTTCCTACTCCTCTGTGGTCTTGATTGTGTGACTGAATGCATGTGATCTACCTACTCACCTGATGGATGGAAAATGAAGTATCTTGTTATACATGCCGAGTCTTTCTACAGTGCTTTGTCTTTTCATCTCTGAACGGTTGTAGTTTTTAGGTTTTGCCAGAAGTTGAAATTTCGTTTTTCAGTGCAGTTGAGACTGAACTAAGTTCAGGTGGGACTCCTCTTGGTTGGGACCTGGTTGAGACCTACGTGGGACCCTTGGGACCAAGCTGGACCCTTGGGACCCAGCGGGACCGGGCCCAAACAAGGAGAGACTCTGGACCCAAATCGGGTAGGCATTGACCTCTTGTCTTCTTGGCTGGGATATGAGTTCATTCTTCTTGGATTAGGACACCCACTGCCGAGGGAATCTTGGTTTTGACGTTTCGCTTGTATTCTGATTGCACCATCCATGGCTTGACTCGCATCCTATACACCAGTCAATTCTCCATTGTTGCATTTGGTCACTCGTTGTCTGATTTGTTGTACGGACACAGAGCTGGTCAGGTTGGACTCGAGAGGACCTCGTATGCAGCCTGATCAGACTGGGTCGCTGGATCAGACCTCTCTTTGAGTTTGATTGTTTCTTTTGTTGTTCTCTACTTCCAAATGAAATGCCGCTCCGGCTAGGAGTTCTAGCTTCTATTCTCTGAGCTTCATCTGTTTTTTTTAGTTCATTTCCGATGCCCGTGGAGACTCGCAATCCGAAAGAAGAAAGAGAGAGGAGGGAGAGACAACAGGGAGAGAGGGAAAGTGATAGTCTGAGGTGGGCAAGGACTGGGAAAAGGAGTGTTCGTCTAACCGCGAGGGGGAGTGAACCTCTTGAGAGTCTGATTGATTCTTTTGCTGTTTGGCGACTCTCTGATCCACCTGCCCACACTGTCAGTCCAAAGATGGCCCAACTAACTTCAATGCAATGACGGGCCTTGTTAGATGCAGCCGGTGATGCTGAGAAACCACATCTGCAAGCACTCTTGGATGGTGCTATAAAACGGAACAGGAGACAGAAAAGGAGAGGAAGGAGACCCTGCTAAGAAGGCAAGTGGCTCTCCTAGAGACTGTCCCCTCATTGACTGAAGTGCAGTGTGGGGAACAGTTGCAGTCCATACTCACAACCTTGGTTCAAGTCCGGAATCTTGAGGACCATACCACTCAAATCGCTGAAGTTTTTGCGAAGCTGCAGACTCTTCAGGATGATCTGACTGATATGACCCGCAAGTACCATGACTTAACCAAGGAAGTGGCTAACCTGCGACAAGCCCAAGTGGCCAACCCGCTCCCTCTACCCCCTGGATCCGGAGCTGCAATCGGAACTACTTCGGCCCCTCTTACTGTACCTTCTTCTACCTCTTCTTCGAGTGTGATGGCAACTTCCTCAGGACCTGCAGCAGGTGCAGATTCCACTGTTGCTGTAACAAGCAATGAGGTTGGAACTTCTGGAATTGCTGCAGCCCCAAGACCGGAACCAGCTGCTGCTGGTCCCTATGTGGACCGAAAGGCGGTTCAAATACCGTCAAAGTACGACGGCAAAGAAGACATCGAGTCCTGGATCGGCTCCATGAGGGCCTACTTTGAGATTCTGGGAACTCAAACTGAGACCCAGGCGGTAATCATGGGAATGAATGTCTGTGCATGACCTGCTGGACGTCGAAGAAGGAGCCGATGAGGTTGACCCCACTCTTGGTGATGACCAAGAACAGGACTGCGATACAACTTGTTCTTCAACCCATGAGTGCGACGCAAATAACGAAGAAGAAAATTTTTCTGCCTTTAAAAAGACTGCCAATGCTAAGGGACCGAATCGGAGTGCCGGAAAGAGTTATGTCCAACTCCCCAAAGGAGTTAAGATCCCGCCTAAACATGAGGATGCATCTACCAAACCGTGGGTTGACCTTCGGATCACTGAGAATGACTGGCGGGGCAGACTCAAGAAGGGGGTTTGCCTGCATTGCCAAAAGCAAAATCATAAAGTTTAGGACTGTTAAAGGCTGCAGGGAAACCAGAATCGGGCGTAGAGCCAGACTCAGCAAACTCTACAGCAAGGGAGGCTGGTTCTGTCGAAGATCAGCAGCCCTCCCTTGAAGCCCAACCATTTGCTGAAGACAAGGCTGCTGTAAGTAATGTATTGTATGACGAGCCTTGGGAGGAGTCTGAGATGATTAACTTCCACTACCACTTGGAGCATTGGGCTGAAGGGACAGTGAAGTTAATCTTCTTTAAACTTTTCATAAACCATTGCTAAGAATTGTAGCTGATGGACAGCATTGATTGCCCTCAAATGAGGGGATTAACTGCTCATCAGGCTGCACGCTGGCGGCTTTCGGGTAAGAAATTCCCATCTTCAATTACTCCCTTTTCCCCTGCCGCGGAGGGTTCACTTGTACATTGATAATAGGCTTTATTAAAGTTTATTGTGGAGTGTTTTTGTTATTTTCTCCCCTTAACTTCTTTATCTACCTCTTTCTCTCTTCCTTATCTGACTTTTTCTTCCCTTGCTGCAGTTAGTGCTTTGCAGTGGCTGTGCCAGTACAGTCATGGTTGAATGTCAATGAATGATCATTCATGTTTGTCATATATGCCAACAGGTGTGTCTTTCTGGGGCACTCCCCCAAGGTTACAGGATGAAACTGCATTCAACATGCATAAGAGACCTGTATTGTTTTTTTTTTTTTTTTCCCCAATACGAACCAATACGGACACAGTCATCCGGACCATCCGGACTGCTCCAGACCATGTCCGAAAATGCAGATGTCCAGATCATATCCGGACCGACCAGCTGTCCAGGTCCAGATGGGTCCGGTTTCCACCATGGGGGTGGGAATGTGAGGCCTCATGTATCAATGAGCCCCAAAAGGGGCTGCCCATGAAAAATGTGCCAGGCCCTAAGTGAGGGACACAACTGTAGAAAGTTCCTGGCCCTAAATGAAGGCCAGCGATAGAGAATTGGGAGAGGCGGGATTCCAGCTTCTGCAACTAACCAATAGACCCAACCTCTGAGTTGCAATGGCCGGAACCCGGACTCAGAGGCGGGGGCAGTAAGGACTGCCTAGTGGGGCGTGAACATGGCCTCCAGAAAGAGACAAAAGAGATGGAGAGAAGTAGGTGTGT